GTGGCATTGAATGCCGAATCCAACTTCAAGTCGGCACGACCTGGATGAAATGCACACTTTCGGAGCTTGTTGAGTGGGCCTGAGCCAATGGGTTTCAGCTATGCTTAGAAAGAGAAAAGAGAGCTCTGAGCTGCCGAGCAGTGTTTAAAACCCCGACGGTGATTTACTGTGGAGACAATCGTCACTTTCGGACAGGTCTCCCCTGCGCAAAAGGCGCAAAAGTTAATCAAACCGACGTCACGCTTCAAACAGGTCGAATTTGTCGCTGGGAAACGACAAAACTCAGGGTTTAGGGTTTACTGGGAAAGAATTGAGTTCTGTTGAGCCTCAAAGAGAAAGTAGGCAGCAGATCCAGCCCCGAAGAGCTCCGTAATCTTGAACACGGAACGTGTATGCAAGCCGGGCTTGCTGGCCATAAAAGCGACCGTAAGGAACTTTGAGAAGCCAAGAAAGATTCTTATCGACTCCGGGCGTCGGACAAGCATGCTTGACGCTGCACAATTGAAGAAAGTCAGCTGTATGCTGAGGCGCTGAAAGCGCGGTCGACTGACTCCGTCACTGTTCGCTTAGCGACGAGGATTTGTGTCAAGGGTCCCTGTGGACCTCGGTATCAAGTTTCGTGACTTAAAAACGTGGAACGCTGTAGACTTGGATGCAAGGTACGACCATATCCTTGGCATGGTATGGTTGGAACACCATGAGCCATGGATTGATTGGAGGTCGCGCACGTCTCTAAGTGAAACTTTGGTGAGTCATGAACCCACCTCTGCTAGAAAGCAGAAGCGCTATTGTCGCGGGAACTGGACCGAAACGGTCAACGTGCTGGATATCGGAGTATCTGAGTTGTCAAACACCGGAGGTGTGCTGGACAAGAGTCCCGAGCATGGCTCGCGGGCTGAAGGTAGAGTGGCACGTTACGCACTAAGCACTGCTCAAGTATCAAAGCAGCTACTGCATGCCAAGAGCGGCATGGTCGGCCAAGGGCCGAGGCATCGAGGCCGAGGACCCTATTGATGCGCGTGGAGTGGTTCGTAATCCACTAAGCACTGCCCACAATACGACGCCGAGTGCGTGTTCTCACTGGTCTCGATGAGACGTAAAACCTCTAAGAAGAGGAAACGGCGATACGGTGTGTTATCTGCAGGATGCAGGTCGTCGACCCTGACTCATGGTGTGTCTACCGTAGAGGATAGAGCACAGCAATATACCCTTGTCAACAGCATGACGAGAGAGACAGATGGCGACGTCCCCCTCGAGACTATTCCCGCGGTGAATGCTCTTCTTGGACTGGATGAGATATCCTTCGAAGAATTTGGCGGTGCCTTGAAGGCAGGAAATTTAGCCGAGATGGTGATTATACGACCAAACGAGGCGATTAACTCGTCGTCGCTTCTTGCTCAAGCTATCGTGGAAGACACTAAGAGGGTGCTGAACGCACGAAGTAGATTATCGCTCCTCAAATACTCCTCGTATCCGCATTTTCCTGTGGTAAAGGAATTCCAAGACGTCGTCTTTAAAGATCCGTCGTCGGTCCAACCTCCGGACCGAGGTGTGCGATTGACCTGGTTCTGGGAACCAAATACTGCGTAATACGCCAATGGCCCCTGCCCAAGGAGCAGAGAGACGCCATTACCGCATTTTCTGTGCTAAGCTCGAGGCAGGAACGATGCGTGAGAGCAAGTCTCCCCTCGACACCCACGTAATGTGTCCGGAGGCCGAACGGCGAGTGGCGTATCGTCCACGCTTACAATAAGCTACACGCTGTCACCATTCCAGCACTAACGCCGATACCTACAATATGGTTGGGTGTATAAAGTACAGTGCACTCAACTTGATAGATGGGTATTACCAATTGCTCATGAGGGCGAGTGTATTCTGATGACAGCGGCGAGTACTCCGAGCGACATGCTCTGGAAGTCGCTGGAGATGCCCGAAATGCTGTCAATGCACCAGTAACATTTGTCCGTCCTGTGATGCAGTTGTCCAGGCCTAATGCACAGACATATCCGACAGCATCATCGTCCACAGTCGTACGGGGCACGGAAGAACAGATGAGGAAAACCACATCATCCATTTGAGAGCGGAGATCGAGTGCATGCGCACGAACAAGCTGAATGCTCATGCAGCTGAATGCATCTTCGGCGCTGAAGATATCCCTGTTTTAGGGTCTTCATAGGGAAGCGTGGCCTTCGAGCGGATCCCGCTAAGGTCAAGGCCACTGTGGACTGGCCGGTTCTAAAGAACCAAAGGGACTTGCGCAAGTGGCTTGGCCTCGCCAACTACTTGCACAAATATAGAGCGAATTATCCGGAAATGGCACGGCCATTGCCTAACTTCTATAAGAAGGATAAGAAAAGGTGTTGGGACACCAAGCATCCGGAGGCTTTTGACTGGGTCAGAGATAGCCTCCTTTATGCACCAATACTGGCGTTGCCAGACCCCGATCGTCCTTTTAGTGTCGTCTGTGAAGCTTCGGACTTACCGAGGGGCGAGATCGATTGATCGCGTTAGAATCTCGCTAGCTAAAGGCCGCGAAGAACTACACGGTCCACGACAAGAAATTACTAGCGAAAGAAGTATGCACTTGTCAAGTTCAGGGTGAACATGCTAGTTTTAAAGTTGTTTATGATCTACACATCATTACGCATTGTGACTCAGTCGCCTCACCTCTTGCAGAGAATGGCCAGGTGGCTCGCTTTCTTTACAGACAACAAATTCAAGGTGAGTGCAAGCCAGCAACGCAGAATGCTTCGGCTGATGCGTTGTCACGCAGACTGGACAGTGAGCTTGCTCATGTCACGGCGGTGACGTCGTGATTCGCGCCGCATACGCGTGTGATGGTACGTGTGTAGTGCTGCTATAGGCTCCCCGGAGCAAGCAAGAGATTCAAAAACTCGGACAACAAGTTGTCGGCACGATTGCGTGCACGGTCACACCGATATTCATAAAAAATATTGGATTGCTGTACTTTAGCACCGATTCAACAGATAGACCACGACATGTGGCGCCTCACGATGAGGACTTGAAATATCGTATTTTCTATGATGACTACGACACCACACTTAGTGGTCATCTCGGTCGTGAGAAGACGTACAGCTCGGTGAGTTGCCACTACTGGTGGCCTAAGCTGTACAAGTGGATGAGCACAAATGTGCGCAGGTGTGAGACGTGTCAGAGGGTGAAATACTCCCCGAATGCGGCGATGCCGCTCGCCAATTTACCCGTACCCCCCGGGTGTTGGCAG